CTCACTCTTTCAGACTGTAGGTCACTCTCTCACTCTTTCAGACTGTGGGTCACTCTCTCACTCTTTCAGACTGTGGGTCACTCTCTCACTCTTTCAGACTATGGGTCACTCTCTCACTCTTTCAGACTGTAGGTCACTCTCTCACTCTTTCAGACTGTGGGTCACTCTCTCACTCTTTCAGACTGTAGGTCACTCTCTCACTCTTTCAGACTGTGGGTCACTCTCTCACTCTTTCAGACTGTGGGTCACTCTCTCACTCTTTCAGCCTGTAGGTCACTCTCTCACTCTTTCAGACTGTGGGTCACTCTCTCACTCTTTCAGACTGTAGGTCACTCTCTCACTCTTTCAGACTGTAGGTCACTCTCTCACTCTTTCAGACTATAGGTCACTCTCTCACTCTTTCAGCCTGTGGGTCACTCTTTCAGACTGTGGGTCACTTTCTCACTCTTTCAGACTGTAGGTCACTCTCTCACTCTTTCAGACTGTAGGTCACTCTCTCACTCTTTCAGACTGTGGGTCAGGTAACTGTGGGTCACTCTCTCACTCTTTCAGACTTTCTTTCAGACTGTGGGTTCAGACTGTGGGTCACTCTCTCACTCTTTCAGTCACTCTCTCCTTTGTAGGTCACTCTTTCAGACTGTCACTCTTTCAGACTGTGGGTCACTCTCTCACTCTTTCACACTCTCTCACTCTTTCAGACTGTAGGTGGGTCACTCTCTCACTCTTTCAGACTGTGGGTGCTCTAAAAACTGTAAACATACTTGGTGTGAAGACATTTTCCGTGCACTCGGCCGAGGTCGACGAGATAAGACTGTTGAGTAAAAAGCTCCTGTCTGAACATCGTGGTGTAAACAGCTTGTTGATCCACGTGGGGGCAGTAGACGTCTATGACATGACCAGTGAAAAGTTGAAACAGGATTACTCTCTCTTATTGGACGACCTTGCTAAAATGGACGTAACAATCGTTATCAGTGGCCCACTACCAAATGTGGACGGGAAGCAAATGAAATTCAGTCGTCTGTATCAGCTAAATACTTTCCTACTCAACGAATGTTCACGCAGAGGACTTGCCTTCATTGAGAATTTTAATCTGTTCTGGAATAGGCATGAGCTTTTTGAAGGGAAAGGGCCACATCTGAACACTTACGGAGTAAAAGTGTTGATGGATAACCTTTCTTTTGCCCTGAGACCTCAGCCTGCGCAGCGCGTGCAGCCATCGAAAGGGAGGAAGCCGACTCTAAAAGTCTCTGCACCTCCACCACCTCGAAGGATCTCAACACCATCACCGCCGCAAAGGATCTCAACACCACCACCACCTCGAAGGATCTCAACACCACCACCACCTCGAAGGATCTCAACACCTCCACCACCTCGAAGGATCTCAACACCTCCACCACCTCAAAGGATCTCACACCACCACCACCTCGAAGGATCTCAACACCTCCACTGTCATCAGAAGCCAGCTGCATCATCACCAGCAGCAGCTGCATCATCACCAGCAGCAGCTGCATCATCACCAGCAGCAGCACCAGCAGCACGACCACCACCACCAACATCCTCACCCCCAGCCTGCTCCAAAGCGCCACGCCTTCTTCATCTACAGCGCCTCTGAAGCCCCCATCCTCACCCCAGCCTACAGCAGACAGGCCTGTGCTGGGGTTTCCTCAACCACCTGCTCCTCCATCAAAGACTCCCTCGCCACCTCCCATGGACCTGTCTTGGGTCCCCCCTGCCACGTCCACTCCATCAAGAGAGAATGGGGACACGTCCCTTTGTTTTTCATCCCCGCCTTCACTGTTAGACCTACCTGAACACTCTGCAGGGCTAATAAAATCGGCGATGAAGACTATTCCTCTCACACCCATATTAGCTCGATCTAGAGTCCTGTCCAACATGCTAAACCACTCCCCATATGTACCTCCAAAACCACCTAGGGTTTCCAATTCTACTGATTCACCTCCAACACCTCCACCCCAGCCGACCCATCCCCTAACCCATCACCAAAAACCCCTCTATCTACCCTCCCCCCTCGTCCAACTCCCAAGAACCACCCGCCTCTCCATCCTCCTCCCCCGCCTTCCCCTTCCCCTCTTTTCTCTAAACACTAGGATGCACAGGGTCTCTGCTTCGCAGACACTGGCAGTCTAGTTAGAGGAGAGACCCGGCTGGGGCCCTGTCATGAATGAGGAGCACAGGGACTGGACTCCTGCTGGGACTCTGAGAGCACAGGGACTGGACTCCTGCTGGGACTCTGAGAGCACAGGGACTGGACTCCTGCTGGGACTCTGAGAGCACAGGGACTGGACTCCTGCTGGGACTCTGAGGAGCACAGGGACTGGACTCCTGCTGGGACTCTGAGGAGCACAGGGACTGGCCTCCTGCTGGGACTCTGAGGAGCACAGGGACTGGACTCCTGCTGGGACTCTGAGGAGCACAGGGACTGGACTCCTGCTGGGACTCTGAGGAGCACAGGGACTGGACTCCTGCTGGGACTCTGAGGAGCACAGGGACTGGACTCCTGCTGGGACTCTGAGGAGCACAGGGACTGGACTCCTGCTGGGACTCTGAGGAGCACAGGGACTGGACTCCTGCTGGGACTCTGAGGAGCACAGGGACTGGACTCCTGCTGGGACTCTGAGGAGCACAGGGACTGGCCTCCTGCTGGGACTCTGAGGAGCACAGGGACTGGACTCCTGCTGGGACTCTGAGGAGCACAGGGACTGGACTCCTGCTGGGACTCTGAGGAGCACAGGGACTGGACTCCTGCTGGGACTCTGAGGAGCACAGGGACTGGACTCCTGCTGGGACTCTGAGGAGCACAGGGACTGGCCTCCTGCTGGGACTCTGAGGAGCACAGGGACTGGACTCCTGCTGGGACTCTGAGGAGCACAGGGACTGGACTCCTGCTGGGACTCTGAGGAGCACAGGGACTGGACTCCTGCTGGGACTCTGAGGAGCACAGGGACTGGACTCCTGCTGGGACTCTGAGGAGCACAGGGACTGGCCTCCTGCTGGGACTCTGAGGAGCATCTTATCTACTGTAGATGGGACCTCTAGAGTTATATTGAATGGACCGTTCCTGCTGGGACAGACTCGGTCCAGCGGCACACTGCCGGAGTGCCGAGCTGAAGTGTCGCAAGTCCAACCTCCAGGTTGATTACGAGATCTGTCAAAGATTAGTTGTGCGATTTTAACCGGGTGCAACTAGTACACAAAAAAAAGAGAAAGGTTACTTTTTCTGATAATGATTGAAGGCTTAGCATATCACAATCTGCGTGTTTCTGTTTTCAACAGTTAATAGATTAACAAACCCCCCTTGTTCAACATGCCAAAACAGCTTACTTCCAAACGTAAATGCAATGAGTTTGAATTTTTTCAATGACAAGGTTCAAGGCATCAAAACGCCATTGTCCCAATCCACAGATAACCATCCACAGCCAGAAAGGCTCTCTTATGCTAACCTCACGTTTGCACCTGTAAATGATAAAACTGTCCAAGAGATAATCTCCAGTTTGAGCTCCTCCACATGCAGCTTGGGATGTACTACCCACTAATTTCTGAAGGTCAGTTCTGAGCAGTCTGTTACCTTCACTCACCACAGATAGTCAAACATGATCCCTTCATTGCAGAATATTCCCCAAAGTCCCTGAAAACAGCAAATTCATCAGGCCCTGTCAAAAAAAGATACAGTCTCGATGCTACGGTACTTAACAACTAAACGTCCCCATCTCAAATCTGCCATTTATTGGGAAAGTCCTTGAAAAAGTATGTCTACCTACAGCTTACTAGATTCTTATAATCCAACAACTCATATGATATGTTTCAGTCCGGCTTTAG